CTTTCTTCAAGCACAGTCCGTAAGTCGGACGATCTAGGCAACTCCGTTTGCCTAGATGATGTATGGTGCGTATGTGAGGGCCGATAGGTACTTCCCTCTATGTAAGACCTAAATGATCCTGTTCTCTCAGACCTGGAGTAACGAGTTCTGGAAGTCCTTGATTGAGTGTCGCTCGTCCTGAGGCTTCTACTTTCTGCTTGCGATGTCGTGGTATGTCTACTACGATCTTCTGAGTGGCAAGGAGGCGCATTGTCTTTGCGCCCCTCTCCTGTCGCCACCTATTTTTCCTTGATTTGGCGCTTCATGGTCTCCATGCTCGCTGCCATCTTCCTTATTAATTCATCTTGCTCTTTCACGCGGTCCTCCAGAACTTGAGGATCAATCTTCCGCCTTTATCTGTTAGGACTTCATGAACAAGAGTGACGGGGGCTGTTAGTCCGCCTCCTCCCCCTTGCATCCCTCCTGGGATTTTGTCATTATGGCTCCAAGTCCGCCATGGGAGGGATAGAAGGTAGGCCTTCGCGCCTTGCACCCCCCTCTGGTGTTTGTCCGTCGATGGCAGACTGCGGCAAATCTTCGTTGTGCGCCATTGCTTTTAAAGAGGAAAAGCTTAATCAAGAGGTTTTGTTCTAGTCTGCAATTCCCACAGACGGCGCTAATTGTACGGGAAAGAAATAAACCTTCTCGTATAATCCTGTTGATCAAGTCTGCGCTCCTTCGTACGTCGTTGCTTTACTCCCTGAAAACACAAACGTGAGCTAGCCGGCGGGTGTGTGCCGGATACCTCTCTGATGCCTAAGTCAGCAAAATAGACAAAGACAAAAAGCTCTGTGTATTCGAGAATCAAAGTTATGTATTACCTCTCCATAGGTGATGTTATGAGCTTTTATAGGTTCCGCGTGGCACAATCCTAATAGGACTCTTACTCCTCCATGTAGAGTCCTCCTAGGATTCATACTTTTGAAAGATAATGCTTATCCTTCAGCACCCCCCTCACTGTTTAAACCAAGTGAGATGGTTTTACCATGGCCAAACTCCAACATGACCGAGGTAAGCATGGCTATGCTAAGCCGCAGACTAGACCGAGATAAATATACCTCGGTTCTTCTATTCACTGCTCCTACCACGGTTTTCCCAGCGTTGACCTTAGTATTGCTTAGACCGTGCTAACCATTAGCTAGGTCCGATCGAGCTAGCTGCTATACTGTGACCGGACTAACTCTGTGTGCGGCATCCTGGCGACCGAGCTACCCGTGTACTCTCCCGGACTGAGATAACACTAGGTTCTCTGGATCCGGATTAACTTTAGGGTCGTCTGGAACCGGACTAACTTCAACGCTCTGGGACCGGACTAATTTTCAAGGCCTTTTTACTCTGCCCTCCGTATTGTGGTCCATAACGGCCCATTACCCAGCTCGGCCCACTTTTCATATAAATTTCCCTCTCAATTGCCCCTTAATTCCATCTGTGCAGCATGATAAGGATTACCTTGTTCTACGAGCCGAGCTAAAAACTTTAATCTTACTACTGAGCTAAGCTTTTAAGCTTTTTCAGCCGAGCTAAAACTCTTTTAGCCTTTTCAGTCGAGCTAAACTCATTCCGGGCTGTAGCCGTCCGGACAAAACGTCTCTTCAATCATAGCAACTGAATCGTTTCTCATTCCTATGACACGTGGCCCCCTCTGATTGGCCCAATGCAGCTGTCACGCCGTCTTCGTACTCCGTGAATTTTGAATAGTTCCCGCCTCTGGTCTTGCACCAAAACAAAACTCTTTGTTTTTTGAATCACTTACCACACTATTCATTTCCTCTTCTCTCTTTTTCGTTCCTGAGCTTCTTCAACCCTGAACTTGTTGAGTTCATGTTCTTCATTGCCGTTGCTTTTATCTCTGATTTCTTCCTCTTGACCTGGTAAGTTTACTCAAATCTGCCTTGTTTTTGTTGTTTTCGCATTTGCTTTTACAATACATGTATTTTGTGTGTTTTTTCAAAACACATACCTTTCTTTCGTGTAATAGAACCTCTGGCTTTTCACGAATAAACTGAAACACTGATTTTGATCCAAAATCACTGTATAACCGAACTAAAAGTTCGTTTGTAATTGATGTCACTCTAGCCAGGCCATTCAACCGAACTAACACTTCACGTTATAACAATAGTTTCAACAAGTCAAACCACCTTTTGTTTTAACTCAACAGAGCTAGCCATCCGTACGAAGTCTGCGTAATAGTGCGTCTGTTAGTCTCAACCACGGCCGAGCTATAACTTGGGGCTAACCCAGCCTTCGTAGTTAAAACCGAACTAAGAGTGCTGCCCCTAAAGGTTCAACCGGGCTAACACTGACCTTTGCACAAAACGGGCTAAGACACGTAGCATTTCACATAGCCGAGCTAAGATTGGATATATCTTTCCTTTATTTCTTTTTAGCATGGTCCAACAGTCTGCTTAACACCTTTGTTTTTTCACTTTGCAGACTTTAGGTTGCCCAGGCACTCCTTTGAGCGCTCAACCGAGCTACTCAACACCTTTCTCCGACCAAGCTATCACAAGCTTAATTTATTCGTAACTTAAGATAAAATGGTTAAATATAGGTTTTTAGTAGAAACACTTGGTTGCCTGGCTGAATTTCGAAGGGAGTATAACATTCCTGACGACGTCCATCTCACCTTAGCCGAACAAGATATCATACCTTGGAGAAACCCTGGTTTTGTTCCCTTCACCCTCCTTTCCATTTTAGAAACTGGACTAAGATTCCCTGTACAGCCTTTACTTTGTGAATTCCTTAGGCAAACTAGGATATGCCCTACCCAGCTTTCCACCAACTCATACCGTATAATAAATGACATAGCCGAGCTAAACCGCCGGCTGGCATTAACCTCGGCTTAGCCGAACTGTTCCACCAATACTCTATAGGATCAAAAGAAGATGGCTGGGTCTATTATCTAAGAATACGCCGCCGCCGAGAGAAAATAATAAAGGATACACCGGACAAAGACTTGAATGATGATGGATTTTTCTGGGTATCTAGGAATTTTGAAGACCACCAAACCCAGATCCTTGGTGACCAAATAAACTGGAAAAAAGGAACCCCCGGTATAATTACCTCGGCTCTTTTGCATGCTTTTCTTTATTTCGGTCTCCTATTTCTAAACCGAACTAACAGTTGCCTTCTTTATGCAGATTCAGCCCACCTTCAGTCATTATACAGTTACCCCAACCTAGATAGAAGGATCCATACCTTGAGGAAGAGGTCAGATGGAGGGAGTTGCAGACAACGCTAAAGGAGCAGATCGATTTCGCGGGAGAGACGTGTTTGGAGAATGAGCAGATCGATTTCGCAGGAGAGACAAGTTTGGAGAGCCTTCAATCACTCTCCAGTTGAAGCCAGCAGACACGAGGGAAAATAGGAAGCCATTTTGCCAGCCCATTGGAGCGAGAATATTTGGATAATATTAGCTAAAATAGCTAACTTGCTCGACCTACAATGAGTATATTTTTCTTATTTGTTAACAGATTTATGCATAATTTATGCTTCAAATAATTTATAAACCTTTAAGAGTCACTCATAACCTTTAAAAAAATAAACGTGATACATTATAAATATGTATGGCATAACTTTATCGATAAAAATATTTTTATTTTAACATTTTTTACCCATAATCAAATAGTTTTCCTAATAAGATTGTGCTACATCCCTTCAAAAATTAAAATTTATATGTTTTTTTATTCAAATAGTTGAAAGTAAAGTGCAAAGATGTGCAAAAAAGTTCCATAGCATTTTCAAAATTCTATTTAAAAAATTTTAATTTTTAAATTAGATTTGGCTTAAATATTTTGAACTTTTCATCCAAATATTTTTAAAATTTCAAATTAGATATGATTTAGATGAGCCAATATATATTAAATTTTTAAAAATAAAAAACTAATAATTTAAATTAATATTTTGAATTGCGCTAATAATATAGAGAGATATATAGATATAATAAATAATTTTTAATTAAATATGAATAAAATTTCATTTAGACTTATAAATTAAAAAATTTTAAATTTTAAATTTTAAATTTGATATGGTATAGATATGATTACAATTTTCTTTTGGACTTTTCCTATAAAGATTTTCAAAATTTTAAATTAAATGTGGCAAGATGACCCACTAAATGTTCCGTAACATTATTAAATATCTATTTTTTGGATTTTTTTATAAAAAATTATAAATTTAGAAATTTTCTAATTTCCATATAAATATTTCGGGCAAATTACAAAAAAAAAAATAAAAAATCCCAAGGTTTAGCGTGTTTTGGAAATTAAACCCCAGGTTTTTAATTTTGACAATTAAAACCCTGTAATTCATTCTGTGTCACAATGTAAGCCCCCGTCCATTTCCATTTTATGAAGTAACGGAGAAAGCCATTTTTGGTGCCTAAACCAACCCAAAACAACATTGTTCCTTATTAGACCCATATAAAAGCTCCCAAATCCTTAATTTCACCAATCAGGGCTACAATTTGCCCCAATTTCTTCGATTTCGTCGTTTTAGGGCAAAGGGGTTGTTGTGATTTGGAAGAAAATCTAGACCAAGATTTGAAGTACTGCTGGTTACTATTATTTGGAATGTTGGTAAGTGATTTATACGATTTCTTTTGTTTCTTTCTTCTTGTAATTTGTATATGAAGTTTTGTTTTTTCTTTTCCTGATTCTATGAATAAAGCAATGGCAAACTCTGTGTTTGTATATTACTTTATTGCATGAGTATGTGTGTGTGTTGGTTACTTTAATGTGTAGGATGCTTTATGAAATTTTTTATCTCCATTGATGGACCACTGCGTTGATTAAGTGGTTGGACCACTGCATTGACTGAGTGATGAATCACTGATTTATCAAATTTTTTTATCTTCATTGTTGGTCCCATGCCGCCTGTTCAATCCACTGGTTTTTTATGTATTTTTTGTTTGTTTGTGATATATTTGTTTATTTGTGAATGCAACAATGGATGATATAAATATGAAATTGGTTTTACATCACAGTGGGTACTTTATAGATAGTGATGGTGGGCCTAGGAGTTACTTTGGGGGTAAAGTACATGTATTTGATACTGTTGATGTTGATATATTTTCTGTGCTTGAGCTGATATATATGATGAAGAAGTTAGGGATATGTGATTACAAACAATTTTTTTATAGGATTCCCACAGAAGATCTGGTTAGAGGGTTAAGAAGAATAAGTACTGACCAAGATGATTTAGAAATGTTTCAATATCTAGGCTGTGCAAACACATAAGAATTATTTGTTGAGCATCATGTGCCACACAATATAGACACCCCTCACCCTGTTTTTCTCCTTACCGATGTCCCTATAAATGATGATAGAAATGCTCAATATCCTCAGTCTCATAACCATGAAAATGAAGCAAACAGTGAAGATGAGAAAAATGACAACTCATCAAATAGTGATTTCATAGCTAGTACTGAAGGTGAGGATGACCCTACTAATGATAATATCATGTTTTATGGTAATGTAGAGAATGAACCAAATGGAAAAGGAGGCAATGCATTTGAGGAATATGTTATGAATGATGAGGATTCATTTGAGGAGGAATTATTAACCCATGAAGGATCTGATGATGAGGGTAATGGGAAGCCAAAGAACCTTGAATTTAGGCCTGAGTTTGATAAGGCTAATTTTGAATTTAAAATTGGAATGTTATTTAATAATGCCTCTATTAGGGGTGAGTAGCGGATATACCGATTCACCCAAACTGATCGAATCGAACCGATCCGCTGCATTTTGGACGGATGCATGATGATGAGCGGACGGTTGCGGATTGATTTTTTCCAATCCGCCTAATTTTGGACAGATGGCGGATTTGAGGTTCTCAGTTGCGGATTATTTTTTCCAATCCGCCTAGTTTTGGACGGATGACGGATTTGAGGTTCCTTTGGCCGTAATTGAACTGCCAAACCGCGAGCACCCCTAGTAATTTGTAAATTTTTGTGTTTTCAATTTATTTAGATATCCTATTTATGTTTTCAATTGAAAAAGAATTTAAATATTATGTTGAATATATTATGTTGAAAAAGAATTTTTAACTTGAATATATTTTTTGAATTGAAAAAAATAAATATATTATTTATTTATATTTTTTGGTTATTAAATCTAACTTTAAAAATAATAAATAAAAAAGATGATATATGCTGCTTGGTTTTTGTTTTAAAAAATAGATATAGATGTAACAATACAAATGCATACAATCTTTACTATTGCTCTGTTCATGATTTTAGTGGTTTGAATTATTTTTATATTTTAAGAACCACATATTGTAATATTTTATGTAGATGAGGTATGCAGTGATTGTAATATTCTAAAGTTTCAAACTTTCTTTCTTTGGATGAGACATGCAGTGATTGTAATACTTTTTTAAGTCATTGACAGTAATACTTTTTTTTTTTGAGGAAGTGCACAAGTTGAATTATGTTAAAAATTTATAAAATTTTAAACTGCCAAACCGATCGCATCCATCCGCCAATCCGTTCAATCCATATCTGCCAGATTGGCAGACGGGTGCGGATTGATTTTCTCCAATCCGCCAATCTGGCAGACAAATGGCGGATTGAAGGTTCCGTGACCGTAACCAACCCGCACCCACCCTTACTTCCTATCTTAATATATGAAAGTAAATTTTTATTTTTAATTTTAATGATTATATGTGCAAGTAAATTTTTTTTGGTTACAAATATATAAAAAAGTTATTACTTATCGTTTTATTTATAATTTTTTTTTTAATATAAGAGGATCCCATTTTTGAAATTCGTCTCAGGCTCTCTAAATCTCTGGGTCGGCCTTGGTTTTATCACACATGTATTTCTTAATTTAAAAAAAAATCATAAAATCAAAAATTTTAATTTAGTACTTTCGAGCTCTCTTGATATTTCCTTTTAAATTTTTGTAAAATAACAGATTTAGACCAATATGGAAGGATTTTTATGGGAAAATTAGGGAAAAGTCTCTCACAAGTCCTTTACGAGTCCTTTATTTACAAGTTTGTACAAGACTCCTTTATTTACAAGTTTGTATAAGACAGTCGACAAGATATCTATCAAACACCAAAACATATCTCTATGGTTTCGAATCAAACACCAGTATCTTACAATCTCTAGGGTTTCGAATCACCAATGCACAGACATACCACTGACGGCGAAGTGTCTGGGCCGTCGTCCGTCAGGTCTCCGGCGTAGGTAGCGTCACTTGTGGACGGGAACGTGAAGCACCGCAATCTGAGCCGGACCACCGCGATACGGGAGAAGATGGAGGTACTTTTATCCTTTAGTTACTTAAAACAATTTTAAGTTTTTTAAATTGTTTTTAAGTCATTGATCCTGCTTGATTACATTTTACCTCCTTAAAAAATATGAACATAATTTTCGTGATTTGGAGTAAAATGCAAAACTAACAGTGGTTTTTAGAAGCACCCGATTATATATAATAAAATTGTATAAGCTCAACCTGTTGTTCTTGGATGCTTGATCTGTCTCTCTAAACCTTTTATCTGCAAATTGTTATGTGCATGACACTTGAATCATTTTTATTTTTTAAAAATAAGTGGGTTTGGGAAGGGTTGTGATGTTGTTCAATTTCTAGAGAGAGATAGAGGAGAGACTGTCGTGCAATGGCATAGAGAAGAAAATTAGAGGAAAAAATAAGGGTAATTTTGACTTTTTGTGAAAATCATTGAAGGATTTAGGCTGAGCACTTTAATCCAATCCACAATGGAGTTGTGTACATTTTAAATCTCAAGGAGTAAGTGTTTTAGGAACAATCCACGAGGGATAAAGTATAATTAACTCTAATAAAATTTACCCATATGCACTTGTTCAAGTTTGGATTGATATAATGTTACTAGAATTTGAGCTTGTTTGGTGCAACTTCTAGCAAGCTGAAAGTTGATAATTAGAAGCACAAACTTAAAACAACTCAATAATTAGTGTTTTTTGTTTTGTTTTGTTTTGTTTTTTTTTCCAGTTTATTTAAGTTATTTTGCCTAAAATATTGTAAGCAGAAGTTACATCAAACACTGGCACAAATTTCCAAATAAAAAAAACTATAAGTTGCTCTAGAAGTTGCACCAAACAGCCCCTTTATACACCATTGCCATGCTTTAAGTTGTTTAGCAAATTATGTAAAAAAAAAAGTAACAAATTTGTGTAGTTATTGCTAACTTGTGTTAAATTGTAATTTTTTCTTTTCTTTCTGTAACTATTGTTAGTGTGGTTGGACGAGCATCTGCCTAAAGGACCTAATTAGTAACTTGCCCGATGGAATTCTCGTTTCCATTTTGTCTCGGTTGGAAATTGAACTAGCAGCAAGAACTAGTGCCCTAGCTCGCAGATGGAGATATTTGTGGACACTCACTAGTAGTTTGATATTCAAATTTTGCGATTGGCGGATAGTGGATCATGAAGATAAGTTATTTGGTCTTAAATGCAGGCAATTTGTTGATTGGGTTAATCATATCTTGTAGTTTCATCGCGGTATGATTATTGATGAATTCAGCATTCAATTTTGTTTGATGATAATATCTTTAAAAGTGATATTGATGGTTGGATCAACTTTGCCTTTCAAAAGAGAGTTAAAAGGCTCAAGTTCAACTTTAGATGTACCTGCACAAATGGGAATTGGAATTACCCTCTTACTGCTCATATTCTTCATTATCACAGACTTGATTCCCTAACGAGCCTCTATCTGTGCCATGTAGATGTGACAAGGGAAGTTTTGGAATACATTTTGTTCGTTTGCCCATTGCTTGAAGAGTTATCTATATTGCATTCACGATCTTTGGTAAATTTTGTAGTTTCTGGGCCTTCATTGAAGCTAAAGTACTTAGAGATCGAAGGTTGCTTCTCTTTGAAAAGTGTTGATATTTATGATGCAAATCTAGTGTCGTTTAAATACAGCGGACTAAAGGCCTACATTGCCTTTAAAAACACTCCGCATCTTGTTAAGGCATCTTTTGATGGGCCTTATGCTCGCTATATTGTTAAGAACTTTATACAGGTTTCAAGCTATCTCCTTCAACTAGAGACACTTGTATTGAACTTGAGTTGGGGACTTAAGGTTAGCATGTGATTCCATGTGTTTGTAGGTGTCTCATTTATTTTTTTCTTTTATCAATGATAAGCTTATTAATATTTTTTTCTTGGCTTTTGGTTGAATTGTCTAGAAGTTGAGGTGCTTCCCTAGATTTCCCAAGTTGAGGAATCTCAGGCAGTTGGAATTGATGCTCAATCCTGGTGTCTCTAGGCTCCTTTGTGCATACTTGCTAAGGGCGTCTCCTTTATTGAGGATACTTAAAATTGAGGTGAATATGCTTTACTTTACACCTATAGAAAATAGGAACACATTCGACGCTTCTGTTTTTTCTTCCTAATTTGCCTATATCATCAACAATGTATATGATTGAATTGTGATTGAAGAACTATATGCACCATCTTTGGATTTCATTAGAAATAGATCTTCATGGAGGTAAATCTTCTCATCTCTTGTTACTTCTCTCATTCGATATATATCTATATATATATACACATATGTACACACAAAGGAATATATATACATGCTTAACATATCTTGTAAATCCATCAAAATGAATTAACATACATTAGCGGGTTCCACTTCCACCAAGCGAAGAATGAAATAGAATCTATTATCCTAAGTTGAAGGCAATGAAATTATCCACCTCTGACTCGATTAGTTTATGCAACAAGCTTCCAAAGATCTTGAATAAAGTTTTTTGTTGCAATCTTTACCCTTGCAGATGTCATAGATTATGGGAAGAAAATTGTGCAAATAATCAAACAATGTTATGATTTAAAGCACTCAACATATCAAACCACGCTATAAAAATAAGTACATAATTTTTTGAATTAGCCCTCAATTTAACCCTTAATTGAAAATTTCACTATAAAAAAGAGTAAGGTAACGTTTGGTAGAGTTTTCTAAATATGATTTAAGAATAGAATTATATTTTGAGTTTGTGAGTTTTAGAATTATGATTTGAGTGTGGAAAATTTATTTGGTTATGAGTTTTGAAAAGAGTTTTGAATTGAGTTTTGGAGAGAGTTTTGAGTTTTTGAAATTAGAAAAGTTATTTGATTTAAAAACTTACAACTCATAACCAAATACACAGCTTAAAATTCTATTCAAAACTCATAAAAATTAAAAAAATTTTGAAAATATTTTTTATTTACAAAATAAAAATAACAGGTGCAGAAAAAAAAAAAAAAAACCTGTTCCTGTCAACCGGCCGGAAGTCCGGGAGGACGATCGGGTTAGCCAAATTTTCCCTCCTAGAAAGGAGTTTTCAAAAGTGGGTGTGGAATTATAATTTGAAAGCTCAAAACAAACATCACACTCAAATCAATGGGTGGAAATGTGTTTGGAACACCTAACCAAACGCAACCCAAATTTTTTTAGGAAGATTGAAATTTCATTAGCTTTTAGTCAATGACAGTGAAATTTCATTGAATTTTAGCCAGTGAAATTTTACTATCTGAAGATAGCAAACTAAAAATTTTGACAATTTTTTTCTTTAGAATATCATATTCATCATGCGTCTTGTTTTATATTTTTTTGAAAAACAAAGATCTAGATAAAAGTTATTAAATTTTTTAGGAAAAATTACAAAAAAAAAACCCTCAGGGTTTGTCATGTTTTTCATATTAAACCCCAACATTTTAATTTTAACAATTTAAACTTTGAATTTTTAACTGTGTCCCAATATTGACCCTCCGTTTGTTTTCGTTTGTTTCTGTTAACTTTTTACACTTATTTGATACACGTGCCACTTTTTGATTTGTCCATAATTATTATAATTATTTTATTCTAAAATTATTCCAACCCTTTCTTCTCACCCTCTCTTCTCTACCCACCCTGTCTTCTATTCCCTTTGTCATTAATCAGTCCCATTTTTTTTTCTATCAATGCGCTCTCTCTCTCTCTTCAGTTGTTGCCGTCGTCGCCGTTCGTCGATCCCCACTATCGATCGCCACCTCTTACGGCCACTTGCAACTCCACATAAGTCTCTCTCTCTCTCTCTCTCTCTTTCTCTCTCACATCATCGCCGTCTTCCTCCACCATTCATCTCAGCAGTGGCGGAGGCGGCAGACGAACCATGGACCGCCACAATCCCATCATCAAAGACGGTAGACGCATAGGCAAACCCCTCATTCTTCTGCCGTGCACTTCTCAACTACCGCAACAGTCAAAAGAGCTTCCTTCAATTCCAAATCAAATGATCAAATGATCAAATGATTATGGGGTCGTAGGGTTTTGGGGAAGAAGGAACGGGATTATGGGGTCTTAGGGTTTTGGGGAAGAAGGAAAGGGTTTTGGTAGTGCTTTTGTTCGGCTGCTTTTCTCCCTTGCTTTCTCACTCCGGCGTGCCCAGCCACTCTGGCGAACCAATTTGATCAGAGAGCTTTGATATGGATTTGAGGAAAAAGCCGATTGAGAGTTGAGAGAGGGAGAGAAAGAGGTGTGGAAGATGTTGTGGTAGTGCAGGGGCGGTATAGACGGAGGTCGGCGAATGGGCGAAGGTCAGCGATGGGGCATTTGGAGGTCGATGATCGTTCATCCTGGAGAGGAGAGAGAGAGAGAGAGATAGAGAGAGAGCTGATAGAAAAAAAAAGAAGGTAATTTAGAAATAAAATAATTATAATAATTATGGATGAATCAAAAAGTGACACGTGTATCAAATAAGTGTAAAAAGTTAACAGAAATAAACGGAAACAGATGAAGGGTCAACATTGGGACACAGTTAAAAATTTAGGGTTTAAATTGTTAAAATTAAAATGTTGGGGTTTAATGTGAAAAACATGCCAAATCCTGGAGTTTTTTTTTGTTGTTATAATTTTCCTAATTTTTTAAGTTTTGAAATTCATTCCAATATGAAAAATTGACTGTAATATGTGGTCTTGATTTCAACCACTAAGAGTCCTATAAGGGCATTTTTGTCCAAAAAAATATAGCATACTATAGTAGGGGAGTTCTTAGGGGATAGGTAATTTCTTAAAATATCTTAGAGATATGAATCTGTGTAATTTAAATGTATCAAGGGTGGCACCCAGCCATTCCCTTTTCAATCCATCCCTGGTATGTTGCCCATGTTGGTTGTATACAGGGGCATTGGGTGGGAGGGTTTGGAAGGGGTCCTAGCCCTTCCAAAATTTTGGGGAGGCACTGTGTATAAATGTGGGAGGAGGTTATCCAAAATTTGAAATTCAAATTTCCCGCCAGAAATAGTCAAAGTTTCAGAGAGTTCCCTGTAGCAAATGCAAAGTCCTTAGAGATACACAAATTCCTCAGGAGTTTCTTAGAGAGGAGTTTCTTGGAGAGAGTTGCAAACTCCTTGAGTAAAGCCCACGAGTAGGGCAATTTTCTCAGAAGCCCATTAATCCAAATCAGAGCCTAAGTCAATGAGGCAAGCCTTTTTGGACACCCCCAAGCCCAATGTAGACCTCATTCAAGGAGAGAAGACGGCCAAGTCACTAACATTGTGAAGTTCTTAGAAGTGGCAAATAACCTAGGAGGCAAATTCAACGTCAAGCAATTCATCCCTCGCGAAGGATACAACTCCTTTGAGGAGATAAGATCAATCAGAGACAACTACTTCGCCAGCAGGCTTCATACACGTATCATTATTCTGGGACGATCACGATCCTCCCAAAGATGGGTCCGCCCATGCCTCTGTGGCCTAGTGACGCCAAAGGGCTAGACCTCGGAGAGGTTTACTCGAGACGATGACGACCCTCTCGCAGATGGGACATCTCATGCCTCTAGCCTGGTAACGCCAAAGGGCTAATCCCTGGAGAGCGTTCATCACTTTGCCTTTGCGGTCTTGTGATGCCAAAGGGCTAGCTCCTAGAGAGCTCCTTTCTCCTCCACGGCTTGGTCACGCCAAAGGGCTGAGCCCCGTAAGAGCCTTTCCGAGGCAGTGACGACTCCCTCAAAGATGGGTCCACCCATGCCTCTGCGGCCTGGTGACACCAAAGGCTAACCCTTGGAGAGCTTTGCCCGAGACAATGACGACTCTCTCGAAGATGGGACGTCCCATGCCCCCAGCTTGGTGACACCAAGGGGCTAACCCCTGGGGAGCGTTCATTACTTTGCCTCCAGCCTGGTGACACCAAAGGGCTAACCCCTGGACAGCGTTCGTTACTTTGCCTCCGCGGTCCAGTGACGCCAAAAGGCTAACCCCCGGAGAGCCTCTTCCCCGTGATCTACTCTTGAAGATGGGTACATTTTCATAGACAACAAGCCTACTCAGATGGCTCAACATCAGCAGAGATGCTCACCCCCAAGTCGCAATGGCAGGACTAGGGGAGGTCCGACCTTGCGGTAGATGCACAATGTGCTCTACTAGCCTCAACGAGATGGTGGGAGATCAAGTGATGCGGTGGCTAAAGGTAAGGGAAGATGAGACAGCTGGAAAACCCTCTCCATTTGGCATCCGCAGGAGATAGCTTGAGAAGGACTAGCCAAGGGAGTTACCTCGGGCAGACCAAGTCCCTGAGTAACTCTCCGTAGAGAATGACCCGAGGGGATTGGGTTCCCATCGGACTTAGCCAAGCTGGATGAGGAGAGGAATATTCCCAAGGATCCAATGGACACATGGCACCTCCCTATTTGAGGGATAGACCTCCAAGGACAAATATAGATGCCTATCTATGATGCACGGACACAGACACGGGACACGACACGGACACGGAAAAACGCAAATTTTCAAAAAATAGGGGAAAAGGGCTAACCCCTGGACAGCGTTCGTTGCTTTGCCTCCGCGGTCCAGTGACGCCAAAAGGCTAACCCCCGGAGAGCCTCTTCCTCGTGATCTACTCTTGAAGATGGGTACATTTTCATATACAACAAGCCCACTCAGATGGCTCAACATCAGCGGAGTTGCTCACCCCCAAGTCGCAATGGCAGGACTAGGGGAGGTTCGACCTTGCGGTAGATGCACAATGTGCTCTACTAGCCTCAACGGGATGGTGGGAGATCAAGTGATGCGGTGGCTAAAGGTAAGGGAAGCTGAGACAGCTGGAAAACCCTCTCCATTTGGCATCCGCAGGAGATAGCTTGAGAAGGACTAGCTCCGTATTTGAGGGATAGACCTCCAAGGACAAATATAGATGCCTATCTATGATGCACGGACACGGACACGGACACGGATACAGACATGGGACATGACACGAACACGGAAAAACGCAAATTTTCAAAAAATAAGGGACACAACACGCTAGGGACACGTTCAATATATATAATTTTATTTATTTATTATATGTACAATTAAAAAATATAAATATTATT